AAACTGAGGCCAGAGAGTAATTTTTACAAGACCATATAACCGTAAGTGGCAGAACCTAGATTAGAACCCAACTAGTCTGAAGAACTCAGTCACTCAGGCCCACACCTTTCTGCTTCCGTAACAGAAAATATATCTGTTTACAAATTGCTAATCCTTTAATTTTTATTATCTGATTCTTATTTTAGAATAAAACTAACCACTACTGGGTGAGAGTGGGGGGAAAACCCATCTAAAGTGTTTGGTGGCGTGGATGAGGTCAGGTGTTTTTGTATTCTACTGAATTCCACTACTAGAGATTCTAAGCTTCTGCTTCCTTAAAAAAAAAAAAAAAAGGAGAGAAAACCAACCCTCATCTATCTCATAGCATTAGTGTGAGAAGTAAACAAATATATTCAAAAGCATTCTATAATCTGCAAAGCACTATTCTATTTGTTATTAATTTGGTTAAACACAAAAAGCATAGATTTGGTAAGTGTAAACCAGGCAACTCAATGTAATTTTAAAAGTCAGCTTACTAACAGAAACTAGGTATAGCATGTACAATGAAGACCAAAAGAAAGTCACCTCCCTATATTTTTCTGTCAGTTTTAAGACAACGATTGGAAATTCATTCAGAATTTAACAGGTACTTCTGGGAAATTCATCAGAAATCAAATATACAGGACTGAAGCAAATAGAAAAATCACTTCCTCCTTTCACCAGCCTGGTAAGCTGGCAGTGGTGGCAAATGCCAGCTCAAACACCATCCGTGCCCAGGTCATCCTTGATTTCTCTAATCAGAATCGATCAAGCCATCCATTATGTCCTCTCACAGCACGTCTGCTGCTTCTCTGGCATTTCTTTTGGACTGGTATCAAGAGTTATCAGTTGCTTCCAATCCTGACTTCCTTCTACTTCCTGAACTCAGCACAATGAACCTCAAACTAGTACTGGCTGGCACTTAAATCTTTGCTTCATTAAGTTCCCAGAGTCAATTCTAAGCCTGGAGGTGTAGTCTGTCTACACTGTGGGGAGAAATTCAACCCAGACAAACATCAAAAACCATTCAGGGTGGAAAACAAAAACAAAAAAACTCATTGTGTCAGTATCTTCCCCCTTCTTGATCCACGAGATTAAAAAAAAAAAAAAAAGGTTCTTTAAAAATCCGAATGGGATGCAAAAACGAAAAAGAGAGGGGAGACCAAGGCCTGAGAACATTCAAAACTCCGTTTCTAATTCGTAAGTACTTTCTCCCACAGTTTCACAAATACATTAGGCACCTACTGCATGACAAAGAGAGAGGATTCTATCTGGCCAAGGATCCCCCAGAGGAGTTAAAGGCCATCCCTCTTATTTTAAATACCACCCAGGGACGTCAACTATTTACTTTTCATATTCTGACCCCGGAGCAAAGACCAACCTGGAGGCCAGAATAAGAAAAGGACCTTAAAATGGACCACATTCTCCAAATAGCACAGCAGGCCCCGGGGCACAGACACTCCGGTTGTACAGGGGTCTCAGGAACCTGAAGTGAGGCTACGAGGAAATGTGCTTTCACGGGTCATTCTCCACTCGGGGTTGCAAAAGGGGCTAAAATGCCACAGCGGAGCAATTCCGCTGCGGCCCCTCCGAGGCCGGCGTCGGCCCCAGTGAGGCCTCCGGCGGTGGCCACAAGCGCCGTGCAGCCTCACTGCCTGGCCGCGGGACGCTGTCATCCCCTTTACAAGGCTTCCAGATGAACCCACTCATCACCTCATGCTCCGCTGGGCCCCGGGACACGGCCTCCCGCCGCGTGAGGAGAACGCGGGTGAGCGTCTTCTCCCAGCGCGGCGCCTCACGCCCCATCCCCGCCCGGCATCGAGACCGCTCTCAGCGGCCAGAGGGCACTTCATACCCAACCGCGTTTCGTAGCTGTGCCCGGAATCAACCTTTACCTTCCCCAAGCAAATGTGGCACGTGATGGGCAGAGTGAGAGACAATGTAACGTTCTGCACGGTCTGAGCCATGGCAGCGTTCAGAATCCCGCCAACACGGAAGTCCCGCCGACTGCGGCTCCTCACCACCACCAAGGACGCGCGAGGCCGGCTACGGCGGCCCGGCAGGGCCTGCCCGGGAGAGGAAACGAAAACGCGCTTTCGCCCGGGCTTTTTCCGTTTCATTAACAGGTAAAGAAAAACTTCCCCCAGTTCAGGTGCTGCAAGATTCCTTGAATGAGAAGAATGAGAAGAAAAAGTGTGTCTCTACACGTATCGACCATCTTGAAAATTTAAGGGCAAGTGTAATAGTAGAAGGCAGTATGGATTAGCGATTTTAACTCCCCAGATTTTTCCCCAGAGAGTTTTATGAGGATGGGGGAAATTGCTTGAAGTTGAAACCCCTCACAATAAACTGGACGCAGTCGAGAGACTCGAGTAAAAAAAAGATGTTATCTATACATTTTAAGTTTCCCAAACAACTTTTCCACCCCTTTCAGTTCCTTTTCCATTCTGAAGTGATACCATGTGCTTGCTTCCAAGGGGGCATGATAATTTGCTTTAAAAACAGTAATTTTTCTCCTTATCTTCTGTATCCAGAAATAATCTGGATACGTTAATCTCAGCTCTCCTTGAAGACGAGACTCTCACTGTTGACCCTTCTGTGATTTCTACCAAAAGTAGTTTTAAGGATTCCATCCAGGAGCCTCATTCACATCCATAAGTGAGAAAGCTGCAAATGGTGTGAGCCATGATCTTGTGCAATGCATTTTAACTCTTTCAAGTGCATCCTTGGATGTGAAGTGTATCACCTTCTTGTGGAACTCCATGGAAGAATTTCTGTGGTTATAAATTAGCATTTCCCAACTGTAAAAAAGAAAAAAAAAACTTAAGTTTCTCAATGAATCTTAAATATTAATAGATTTGGAATTTAACTGCACCTGATTTAAGTGAAGAAGAGCTGATGTGATGTATTATGCAAACAAATATAATCTGTGAGTTGGGAGATTTAGAAACTTTTTTTTTACAGATGCCTTTATTTTATTTGTTTATTTGTATGTGGTGCTGAGGATCAAACTGAGTGCCTCACTCATGCTAGGCAAGTGCTCTGCCACTGAGCTACAGCCCCAGCCCTAGAAACAATATTAAAGGAACATATTTTATTAATCTTTCTGAAAAGGAGACAATACATAGCAAAAAGCAGCCTCGGGGTTAAGAGTAAGGATTTATGGACCTAGACAACTGAAATAGAAATCTCTGCCCTCAACAACTTCCTGTGATCTTAGGCAACTTATTTAATCTTTGCCTCTTAGTGTTTTACGTGTGTGTGTGTGTTTTAAATGAGAGCAATTTATGCTTAGTATGATGTGTATAAAAAGTGCCAGGCAGTAGTGCAATGGGAACAGATAGTAGTTCACTTGAAGAATCCCAAATCTATCTCAAAATGACTTACAAGTGGCAGTGAGAGTTCTTTCAAATAGTTTAGCAACTTTATTCTCTAGCAGTCAGAGACCATAATATGCTTGCAATTGGAGAGCTGAACAAAATAATCATACTGATTCTGTTTAATGTAAACTTTTTCAGAATGTCTGGCATAAGTCATCCAATTTGGTGATTTCCTTAAAAAGTCATATTTATATGAAGTCCAGAATTCCCCTGTTCTGCTAATTTATCTTTCAAGTCTCTGGCTGTGAAACTCCAGATCATCACCTACTGTCATTCTGGTTTCATCTTTTCCCATCTTAATGTTTTCTTTTGCCTAGGCTTGTTAACATGATATTTCAGGGCCTCCTTCTACAGCTTCTGAATGGGGCATAGGAGTAAGAATGTTCAGCCTCTGACATCCATCCCTGGAAACAGTATATCAGAAAGACACATTGAAGACACTTCTTTTTAAAAGACTTTTCCTTCACTTACCAGGCAAGTTAATTTCTTATATATTATCCCTGTGATTGGTGTCAATATCTAGTAACAAAGATCAATTTAACACATTATTGCTTCCATTTTAAGTAGAAAATTAAAACCTAAGACTATTTCCAACATCTTCTTTTACATTTATTACTGTTATCATAGTGCTGTTTTAGTGCTCTGACCATACAACTATTTCTATGCTGATCACATTCTATTATAGTTGATTATGTGTTTACCACCACAACAGACTATGTTTCTCCAGGCTAGGGATTACATCTAATTTATCCAGTATCTGGTACTAAGTGAATATTCCAAAAACAGCCTTAGCCATCGCCTACTTTTTTTATAAGCCCAAGCTGTTTTATGTTAAACATGTTTACTTGTTTTTACCTCAAAACAGAAGACCATGTTACTCTTGAGAATTATAAAAATAATAGAGTAATTTTTTAAAAAATTAAGATTTTAAAAATATATCAAATATTAAGCAAAATTTCCTTTATTCTTTTGCCACATCTCTCTAAATCTTTGTGGTGTTCACTATTAACATTCTAGCACATGTCCTTGCAAACATTTTAGTTAATATGTTACTATTTGCATTAGCACAAATATAATCATACTGCAACATAGACACTTTGTATATTTATGCTTTGTGGATAGATACCAACACACACACACACACACACACACACACACACAAATAATATTGCTAGCAATACATGTTGATCAGGACTCTCTCAAGGTCCAGATTGATTCCAGGTTATTTTATTTTTTTTAATATTTATTTTTTCATTGTAGTTGGACATAATACCTTTATTTATTCATTTTTATGTGGTGCTGAGGATCAAACCCAGTGCCCCACACGTGCTAGGCGAATGCTCTACTGCTGAGTCACAACCCCAGCCCCATTCCAAGTCATTTTCTGGGCTTTGCTTTTAATAATGCAAGTGAGTCAAGATCAAGAACTATCTCTTCTCTCTATTTTATGAAGGGGATTTCCTAGTTTTTTGATAAATCATGTTCTAAATAGACATTGTTTAGCTCAAATAGTGTGATGATGCTATAATTACTCTAAAAGGAAGATAAAGATCACATGGCTCATTGACTTTCTGCTTGATTTCTATTTCACCTTCTTAACAGCCTCATATGAGAAATCCTGTGACTGGAGGAATTCAGTTACGTATGACATCCAGAATAGGCTAAGGCCTCCTAAACTATTTTTTATACATCTGTGGACCTACAGAGGCTTTGGGGGGTCATCATGAAGTCCTTCCTTTTATATATGAGGAAATTGAGGCAAGGATAAGGTAAACCACTGGATAATAGTTAGAAGTGAAGTTAAATCCTAGATCACACTTGATGGATTCTCTCAGATTGTTGGCCCAATGCCTTCATGTAAGTGCAAGATGTATTATTATTAATAAAGTAGTTCAGTAATAAAAAGTCAGTCATAATTGAATTTCTTTGCTAAGAAAACCATCAAATAGCTGTGGAACACCTTTTACCCCTTGTTTAAATCAGATTCATTTTAATGATAAATTATTTAAAAGCAAGTTTAAAAAAATATAAAATCTTAAGTGCTATTAAAAATTGATTAGGAATGCATTATTCTTTCATTGACCCAGTTCAGATTGTTTTTTAATTTTTTTGGTCAAAGCTAATAAATTTGAGTAGATGTTTCAGACAGACGTTTTGTAATCATTTGGTCATCAGTCAATTAATCACAACTTCATAAATATTGATTTCAGATTACATTTATTTTTCATTCCTGAATGACAATTTTTTGTTTGTTTTAAATTTATACACCCCCACATGGATTGTGGTTAAAACTGAGAAAACTCATAAAAATTGCATTAAAAATTTATGAGAGGTGCTAGCCCAGTTGCACAGACGTCAGGTGTGGTACCATCCTCTCAAAAACTTGGGAATCCTGAGTTAAAATATACCAAGATGGTGGTAGCAAAGATGTTTTACTACAGTAGAAAAACTTGGGTTTCTTGTGCATAGTAGCTTTTGTTTTATTTATTTTTAGAATATATGTTACCTGTTATCCATGTTCATTGCAAAACAATTCACTCTTTTAATGCATGTTTATTAAGTGTTAAGAAACAAATCACTCAAAGTTCTACTTAATGGAGTTTACATTCCAATGGGTAAGTCACACTGCCCTAGCTTGAAACTAAACCTGTCTTCTCAAGTAGCAATAGAGAGTTTAATATTAAACGTGCACATCAAGTTGAAATGTAATCACAAGATAGTTATTGTGGAATAAATAAATGTAATTTGTTATTTATTTCTTCATCCCACAACATTTAAATACTTTTTATATGCCACACATCACTCAAAGGGTTGGGTATATAGATGTGAATCAAACAAACAATATCCCTGCCTTAATTTATTTATTCAACAAATATTTTAATGACTAACAATAATGTGCCAGCCACTCTACTATTAATGAGCCACTTTAGAAACGGAATAACAGAATCCAACTATTCTATTTCATTCAAAAAATGCCAATTTTTACAGTAATTTTTGTTCTGGATGCTCTTGTTATTGGTTCACCCCAGCCATTGTGATAGCAAGTTATAATTTTAAATATATTAAAATGTTGCAAGTTGGGCAATAGTTTTAAATTAAGTCATCTTTAAGAGAATAGGTTAGTTCCACCCCAGGCTAAGTGTTGCTTCACAAATGTTTGTTGAATACTAGAGAATAAATGAAGAGGTCTGGGGATATAGTTCATTTGGTAGAGTGCTTCCCTTGCAGGCACAAGGCCCTGGGTTCAATCCCCAGCAACACACACACACACACACACACACACACACACACACACACACACACACGCGAATAAGTGAAGAAAATACTATCTCCAGAAAGATTGTAACATAACCACCAGGGCAGAGAGGTTATAGGACTTGACAAAGTAACAGAACAGAGAATTCAACTTAAAGATTCTGACTGCTTTTGATTTTAAGTTGCCCACAGGAGAACATGTGTTTCCTTTTTGCTCATTTTAGGTGTGAGCAAAATCTCCAAGGAATGCTCCTCCATAGGAACTCAAAGCCAGGGCCCTTTAAGTAAAACTAATGTTTCTATACTATTTACCAATGGTCCATAAATAATTGCATTTTGTTTGAGGGTACCTACCCCACAATGGCATCCTGAACTTGGTCATGGTGTCCTTATCAGCTGGCCAGGACTTGTCAGGATGTTTTTTCTGAAAATAGGGCCCAACATCTCTTTTACACACTCAATGTTCTCAGTTATTGTTTAAGCAATCATTTATTTTAAGTGTTATTTATGATATGACTTCATTTTCCTAGATCAGAATCTCTTTCAACTCTGGCTTCACTTTCTTTGTCCCCTCCCACCATTCATTTTGGCCACTGCATATACATTTGATACGTGGTAATCTCAACAACAAATGCTTTGGACATCAAGGTAGGTAGAAGATAATTCTGTCACTGCAGCTTACCTGCCTGTGTGATGGAGGGCAAACCACTGCACCTCTGTGGATATCAGACCTCTCATCTGCATGTTAGGAGGATCAGGCAAAATGACCTCAGAAGAGGTTGCTTAAATAATGTCTAAAATGTTATCTAATTATAGTATAAAATAGCTATTAAATACAGAACTTCCATATATGGTTCTAGGGCAGCATAAGTGGTTGCTGCATTCCCAGGGACCAGGGACCACTTAGCCACCCAGGAGATCCATGAAATGGACAGAGGCACCTGGAGAAGCTGTGAACTGTGCCATAGAGCTTCACAGGTGGTATTACTTTGATGAACTTAGTTTGCTTTGGGTTTTGCTCCAAGCCTTAAAAGGCTAGAAAATGGAATGTACCAGGGAAATCAGTACTCATCAGATTCACTTGAATCAGACTCACCTATATGATAAACACGAAGAAGAATGCAAATTCATGAATTCACAAAGAGGGAATTTTGTGATTGTTATCTTTCACTGGGCAACCATTACTTTGAAGCAGTGTAAAGTGGAGAGTCTGGAGGGTTGTGGCTCCTTGGCCATGTGAATGCTAGAGAGAGATCTCTGAAAAAGCTTCTCTCTGCTCTTCTTAGTCAGGCTCTCTGTTGGAGAGAGTTTGTTGCATGTTTGCTGTGGGCTTCTGTGCCTAGGTGTCTCCCCATCTTCTCATTTTCCTCTTTTGGTGGCCTTTTTGCTTTTGAGATATGCCATTATTATTAATAATACTGCCAATCTCTGCTCTTATGGGCCTCAGAAATTACCTATATTCTTCCAGTAGATATGTTATATATATATAAGTTTAACTTTAAGATGAATAAACATGGTTTCTTTGTTGAAAGGCAATGAAGAGAAGTTGTTGTTGTTGTTTTGTTTTGCTTCATTATGTTTTGTTTTTTCTTTTTTTTTTTTTTTCAGCTTTGGGGATCCATCCCAGACTTCAAGCACATTAGGCCAGTACCTCTACCTCTGAACTACATCCTCAACTCATAGGAGAAACTCCTTCTCAGCTACAGCTATAAAAAGGAACTTTCATAGGTCAATAGGCTGGTACTCATTTTTCTTTATTTTTTAAAGATTCTCAATGTGCTTTTAAGAATAAAAGAAAATGCCAATAAGTATCGTTTGTTTTTTTGCTGATTGTAATGTACAACAGATTTCTTTTTCTTGCTCTACTGGGAATTGAATGGAGGAGCACTCTAGCTCAGCCTTTTAATTTAATTAAATTAATTAATTTATTTGAGACAAATTCTTGCTAAGTTCCCCAGGCTGGCTTCAAACTTACAATCCTCCTGCCTCAGCCTCAAGAATAGCCACTATGCCGGGCTTACTATATAAGTTCAGATTGAATACTAGATTTTTCTTTTTCCTCTCATTGGTGTGTCTCTACACTGAAGTATTTATATTCTTTTTGAGATAGCAGTTAAAAGGAAAAATTTGGTTCTTTTAATAAATATGAGATTTGAGCCAAGTGAAATCTGGTATTCCCTTACCTATTCACTCTAAACAAGATGGTATTTTTACCAACCCAAAAGTCATTTGACCAACACTTGCCTTTCTTCAATTTTCTCCTCTCCTTAGCTTTCTACCAAAGCATAAGGTTAAACATACGTTTTCAAGAACTAGCCTGAACCTCATTATGCTAGCTTAGCAAAAACTGAGAGGGAGTAAAAATCTGACTCTTACTGTAATTTATTTCCTAGACACATTAACTCTGCCAAAGCTGCAAAAAGTAGTCCAGTGAAAATAGTGAGAGGTTCAGCCTGGCAGATATTTCTGCAATGCCTACTATGCTTCCCTTACAATGATCCTAATAAGGGGATGTCCTGCCATACTTTCTGTTTTATAATTCAGAGAACTGAGGTTCAGAGAGGAAGCAGAGAATGCATAGCTATAAGTGCCATTAATGGAATTTCTGACTTGTATTCGAGTGGCTGGTCAGTCAACAATCCTTTGTGAAAGATGCACTATGTTACAGAAATCATTTGTTACGCCTGGATATGACATGATGTCTGTCTTCCAGAACTTGAGTCACTCAATATAAAACTTAATGAAATATATTAGGATATATTATATTATAGCCATAACAGCTACCACCTAGGGAGAAGTTACTTTGGGATAGGCATGAAATCTGCACAGTGGTATGGGGACACTAAGGATTAAGTCTCTTTTAGGGTAGGGATCAAGTAAGTTTTTCCATCTCTGGAAAAGGATGATCAGGATATTCAGTAGCAACCAAGGATAGCAAGGCTCTTAAAACCTAGAGAAACTGGTAGGGTGAGACAGTATCTTTTGTCCATCATCAAGATACATTCAAAGGGAAAGAAATTTGGGACTATATCCAGACTTCTAGCAACAACAAAGGGGGCAGGCGTAGAACATAGGCAATTACTGAATTTATGGATTCACTCAAGAGTCAGTATTGTGATGCATGATCTCACTTACATGAAATCTAAAAATGTTACATTCAAAGAGTAGAGAATAGAATGGTATTTACCATGGCTGGAGGTGAGCAATGTTGGCTGAAGGGTGTATCACTTCAGATGGAAGGAATGAGTTTTTGACATCTATTTCAAAGCATGGTGATTATAGTTAATAACAAGGTAATGTGGTAATGTGCATTTTCAAATGTTTAAGAGAGTAGATTTTACACATTTACATTGTGACAAAACACATATGAGGTTATGAATATGTTAATTAGCTTGATTTAATCATTCCAGAGTGTATACATATATCAAACATAATATTGTTTCCCTCCATATATACAATTATTTTTGCCAACTTAAAAATTAATAATAAAAGATTCAGTATTGTGGCCTTCAGTTGAGTACTCATTGCCTGAAAGAATTAACATTTTTCATACTGTTAGGTTGATATTTATCATAAGTAACTAAGTTGTGGGAAAAGCTGATTGAATTAAATCCACTTCTTTTTGTTTTAAAAATTTATTTTAGGAAAACAGATTATGACATACATATTGAGTAATATGCAAATCTTTCAATAAAGGAGATTCTTTTCTTTTGATTTAAACCTATACCAAAAGGATTAATGAGATAGGAAAGCTCAGTTTAAGAGTGTTTATGTGGATATGAGAACCTAATGAAGTAGATAAATAATAGGCAGGTAAACACCAGAAGATACATTCTAGTTGAATGATAACAGACTACAATTAAAAATAGTACTTTTCTGCAGTGCTGGAGATGAAATCCAGGTGTAAGGCATGCTGGGTAAGCTCCCTACCAATGAGTTAAACTCCACCCCCTAAATAAATTTTGAATTTGTTGATGTTTATATAGCTGCCATTATTTTGTCATCTTTATCATTATTTAATCATGGATCTTTAAGGAATAAAACATCATTTAAAAATAATTTTTTTAGAAGTAAAAAAGAACAAGCTTCTAGGATTTAAATAAAGCATGTGCTGAATAGAAAATTTAAAAATTTTAAACTGCCTAGAGCTTTGTTTTTTGGTGGGAAGTGGGGTCGTGGGAATTGAACTCAGGGGCACTCAACCACTGAGCCACATCCCCCTAGACCCCTATTTTGTAATTTATTTAGAGACAGGGTCTCACTGAGTTGCTTAGTGCCTCACTTTTTCTGAGGCTGGCTTTGAACTCGAAATCCTCCTACCTTAGCCTCCGGAGCCACTGGGATTAACTCTGTTTTAAACTGGTAAAAATGTCTTATTTAGGATTTGTTGTGTTCTTGGTGGCAGGGGGCGGATACAATGTTTTAGAAAAGAAATACAAGGCAGGAGATGCCTCAGGATCAAAGACAATAGTACTGTTACTTATATTTTATTGTATTATTTGAATATTGATCATCCCTCTGTGTTATACATTGCTGTTCTAACTTAAATATTTAAATACCTGTATCACAATTTTCAATGTATAAATATTAATTAAAAATGACTTAACATGTACATTTGATTTCATAAGTGGTTTTCAGCTATGGATATAAATGTTACATTTATAGAGCATCCCTTCAATATAAAGGAACTGTTACCTAGATTTCTATGAATAAGCCTTATTAGTATGTTTGCTGCTATATTAAAATTTTTGTAGAAAAAAAATATGGTTTTAAAAAATGTGCATATGATGTTGGTGTATGGCATCAGGGAGTTCTTTTTGTTTAGTCATTTCATGTTCTAAACTTCAGTGGTAACTCTTGCTTTCACAGGTACCTTTGTGCAGTCAATGTTCATCAGAATGTACTTTTTAATTGTTTCTAAAGTTGCAGTTCCTACTAACCAAGATTAGGTGTTTAGGTTCGAGAATCCTTCCTTTCGTGCCTTCTCTCCATTCAGTCCCAATTCAAAGAAATGACTATAGATTTGTTACAGTAATAATGGCCAGTTTACTGAAAATTACTTGCTGAATTCCAGTCTTTATAATGAACTCTAAGTGATACTTTTCTTAATTCACAGGACCTTCCTGTGAGATTGTTACCATTCATTCAACAAATATATTTGAACATATACTATGTGCCAAGCACTGATCTAACTTTGAGTAAACAGAAATGAACACAATAGATAAAAAATCCCCACCTTCTTAAAGGTTACATTCTGATGGAAACTCATAGAGGTTCTGAGCCATTGCCTAGGATAGTACAGATATTGTAGGATAGGGCATACAACATGTGCTCCTAATTACTGCTCTTCAAATGAGATTTTTTTCAGTCAGGCAGTTTCTAAATTATTTTGTACTTCCAGTCAAAATGTCACAGAATCCATTTGGGTCAGCAGGTATTTTTAGTGTCTATTATAAATTGTTTAATGGAAATTACACAAGACTAAGTCAGGCACTATATCTCCTACTCTAGTGTTTAGAGACTGTATATACCAGAAGATATACCTGGCCATTCCCAATCTTCTCTGGCCTGAAGGGTACTATACAAGTCACTGAGTATGACACAGACTATATCGATGTTTATAACAGTTCAACTCACAATAGCCAAGCTATGGAAACACCCTAGGTGTCCTTCAACAGACAAATAGATAAAGAAAATGTGGTGTATATATACACATGGAATATTACTCAGCTATAAAGAATGAAATAATGGCATTTGCTGGTAAATGGATGGAACTGGAGAATATCATGCTAAGTGAAATAAGCCAGTTTCTACCCACCCCCTGAAAAAAAAAGCCGAATATTTTCTCTGATTTATGGATGGTAACCCAAAACAAGGGAGGTAGTAGAAGAGAATAATAAAAATCCATTGGATTAGACAAAGGGAAATGAAGGGAAAGGAGCGGGGAGGGGAGAATTAATTGGACATAACTTTACTAGCCTTCTATTTGAATACATGAACAGGATAACTCCACATCATGTACAACCCCAAGAATGGAATCTTAATTAGAATAAGCTATGTTCTATGTATGTATAATTCACCAAACTACATTCTACTGTAATGTATAACTAAAAAGAAAAAAAATAGAACAAATTTTTAAAAAAAGAGTCACTGAGCTACTTTAACTTCATGTGGTTTTATGTACCTAACATCATTAGTTGCAACGTATAAAATATATGTGGTTATGAAAGTGTGACTTTACCTTGTGTGAGACATGGTGGTTGTTAAGGCATTTTCAACACACTGTCTGAAAGTGTCATTGGCTAGTAGGAGACCTCCACTGCTAACATCCACCTCTTTCCTCAGTCATTGGCTGATCAATGACTCTATGAAAGTGTCATTGGCTGATCAATGACTCTATGAATAGATTGGAAAGATCGAGAGGATGCTCTCATGTCAGTTTTACATGTGAGGAAACTAAGGCTAAGCATGATACAGAACTAACAAATATTAGGACAAAAACTGTAGTTCTTCCCTTCATTCAAATTCTGGCCCAGCTGCCTCTGTTCAGAGAACACTACTGAGCTTGAAAGAACTGTTAAGTTTTTACTATATTTAAGACACTATGAAGGAAGATGATTGAATATGGACTTCACCTTACCCTTATAGTTCTTATAGCACTGCCAGGGCAAGGGATACTTACTTATACATAAATAACTCCTTAAAAAGGAATAAGGCAATTAAGAGTCTTAAGATAATTAAAATATGTGGCAATGGGAATTGGAAAGTGGGAAGGTTAAGGGTGCGTAAAAAAAGACTATAGAAAAAA